AGCACAAGGAACAAGATGCCACTCGACACCGGCTCGCCGGCACATTTTGTATTCGGAACGCGTTCGGTCTAAAGTATTGGCAGGGACCCAGAATTTTAATTCATAATCCTGGCAAAGATGTTTTGCATGCTTCAATTTCCTCAGCACGTACAAAAACAAACAAACAAAAAAAAAGTCCAAAGTGACAGTTCCACAAACGTGATGCTGCGACACAACTTCCGGAATTCCACAACAAGCGCAGGCTTAAGACGTTGCCATAAAAGCAGCTTCTTACCTTTTTCTGGTACCACACCACGGCATCTTTTACTTTGGAAGCCATTTACATGTCACCTCTCGCCGTCTGGGGCATCTTAGGCTGGATTTGGTGGTGGGGGGGACAAATGACAAAAAAAAAAATAAAAAAGTCACACAGAGCAAGAGAGAAACGTGCGAGTTGACAAGACTGATGGCAGGGCACACGCCTGTGCGAGGCAGGTGTGTGCTGACTAACAACGCGAGGGGCGGGGACCTGCATACACTCGCGCATACACACTGGGAATTAGTTGTAACATGGTTGTACAAATAGACAGCAACGCCTGTGGCCGCGAGGGCGCTGAATCACACAGCCGAGGATGAAATGTGGCAAGAAAGGGCCGGCGCCGGCTCCACCCTCGACAATTGGGCGAGCACGCCTGTTTGTTGTGGGATCGCCGTGCACAAGACATGTCGCCTTGGACGTGTCGTTCGTGTGTTTTAAACGCAAAGGGCCAAACACTTTTCTGGAGTAGCACAGCGCGCTTCCACCATCGTGCAGCAATGCCACGAACCCAAAAGGGTGCGAAAACGCTGGAGCTTCTCTGAGGCTCGTGCCCCCCCTCCTTCCACCCCCTGAGATGATGTCACGCATTTAAAGGAAGTCTGGACTTTGTGCCAAAGCGGGAAGGCCGGCACAAGGCTATGCGAGGGACGACTGGCCTAACACACAAGCAGGAAGGAAACAAGTGTGAGAAGATGCAGCGTTGAGTGTTTGAATTTGAAGATGTGGTCAGTGAGCGTCTGTTCCTTCCTTGTTCTCGCCACTTACACTCCGCTTTTCTCATCGTTGTTTCCCTTCTGGGGCTGTCAAGAGCCCCAGAAGGGAAATGCATGCCAGCTGTGACGCATTTGAGAGCGCGTTGCCACCTCGCTGCAGATAAGCGTGGTTATAAAAAAAAAAAAAAAAAAAAAAGTCACCTTACGTGTCACGTGCGTGTCAAGGCCGCCGTGCTCGCGGGGG